TACCAACTACCGAGTGTTGGCCTCGACAACAACCCCCGAGTCAGTTGGGGTGAATAGGCGTTCGATATACGTACCTGTGCCTCACTCTTGATATGATGAATAATAGCATCCGCCGTCTCCATCCTGCGAAGGGAAACGAGCCAATCTCTCTGATCATGACTTGTCCGCACCCGAACCTGGGCCATCTCCTCGCCCGTCCCCGCATCCCCATCTACGCTTTGCAACGTGCGCAACCTGCCATCTCCACCACGTATTTCCGCCTCTGCCTCTGCCTCCGCCTCCGCTTCCGCCTCGTCTTCCTCCGCTAGGCCCTCGGGCTGCACAACTACCCACTCGGGCACCTTGTACTGCACGCCCGACGCATCATACACGCCCCTCCATAGCAGGCCCGTCGGACACGTACAGCCCGTGACATCCAGCATAGCCTGTGCCGTCTGCACATCACCCGTCTGCAATGCCTGTGCCGCCAGTCGAATCGCACCCCACATTTCCGGGGTGCCGGTGACTTGGGTGTCCCACCAGTCGCGGCGCTCCTGCTCGAGGCGCGAGGGCGTCCATGTCGTATTGGAGGGGTCGGTCAGCGGTTTGACGCGCGCGCTCGGGGAGGAGGCGGTGAGTGCGTTGGGTAGGTGCGAACGTTGGTCTGGGGCGATGGGTTTGAGGGGGACGTTGGGCCGGTCGTCAATGCTGTGTGGTGGTGGTACGCTGGGCTGGGAGGCATGCGACGGCTGTCGCGTGGACGGGGCCGTGATGTTGCGAGACGAGGAATGCGGATGTACGGCAGGTATGTTGTTGTCATTGGCGCCGTCACCTGCGCTGGGTGTGGAAGCGCAACAACCCTATATACATGGCGGGTGTGTCTTAGACAGGTTGCGTGTGGCAGGCTTTGGGGGGGGGGGGGGGCACGAAACGGTGAGAGTTTGTGCTGGCGTGATGACATACCATGGTGGGTGGAGCTGCTACCCCACAGCTTCAAACCTTGTGACGAGCCAGTGTTGATGTTGGCTCTAGCGGTGTCGCAACAAGCGAAGGTACAGATTGCGAGCGTAGTAGTGATTAAACAATACAATGAGCATAGCAGAAGACGAGAGAGAGGGAGGGGGAGAGAGAGAGGGGATGCGCCTGGGGCGCAAGACGTAACTAGTAACTACGGCGGGGAAACTCATGTGCCTCGCGGCCCTGCTCAGGCCATGTAGCGTAACTGCCCAGGTGCGAAGGAAGCATCATCTGTCGACGATTACCTAGAATAGGTGACCTTGGACAGCCGACTTAACCCATTGTCGTCCATCCAAGCTTCTTCAACGCCACGAACAAATGCATTCGAAGAGAGACTAGTCTGCGCGTTGCAGTCAAGTGGGTATTCAAATGGGGGCTAGGATTTCACAGAGACACATCACCAACACGCAACCGAGTTGAGAACGACAGTATATTAGAGATTATTACGTCGAAAGTGTGCCCTAGCGGCCGCTTGTGTACATGCCCTTATAAGGTTGTACGCAGAGGGTATCAGGGGGTATTGCGCGACAAAACAAACAGTACCAGTAGCAACGGCCAGGTATCCGACAATGGTATCAAAACGAGAGAAACAGATGCAGAGTGGTATCAATCTAGACAAGAACCGGGCATAACGCACTGGATGGCAAGATCGACTAGTCCAACATATCAGAGCGCACAGATCGTCATCCACGCGGAAGGAGCGGCGAGAGTTGGTCGAAATGGGAGAACAAATGGGTAGGAAAGGGATATCAGAGAAAGCTCGATCCAAACCCTGCGCCTGAATCTAGTGGGAGATCCAATGCAAGATGTTGGGGGGTATCAGTGGTGGTCGTGCGGTCAAACAAGGGGGTTGCAGTATCTTTGCTTTTCCGTCATTCCATCATGGCTGTCGTTGAGAAGGGCGGTGTCTTCCCACCATACCTTACGCAGTTGCAGGGACAGTCTGGGTGCTTTTCGGAGCCTCGCCAACGGTAACAGCCTCTGCGGGGACATCGCCAATGCTCTTCTCAGCAGAAGCAGCGGTAGACGCCTCCTGAACGTGGGCAGCAGCGGGGGTCTCAGCCTTGTTCTCCTCGCCCTCGGGGATGGCGGCAGAGGACTCCTTCTTCTCAGCAGGCTTGGCCTCCTTCTTGCCAGAGGTAGCCTTGCTCAGGGAGCGGCTCAAGTTGCCGAAGAAGCTGGTGCGCTTCTCCTTCTTGGGGGTCTCCTCGTGAGCAGGCTCAACCTTGGCCTCGGTGGCAGAGGCAGTGGGCTCAACTGGCTGGAGCGGCGCCGCGGACTCATTGGCCGCGGCCGCATCCTGAACCTGGGGAGCGACGTCGGACTTGGGCTCAGCAGCCTTGTCAGCTGCGGCTGGGGACTTGCTTCGCTCCTTGGAGCCGAAAAGCTTGCCGAAAGAGAAGTGCTCCTTTTCCTTGGATGGGGTGGAACCGGGCTTCTCTTCAGTCTTGGGTGCTGCCGACTCGGAAGCGTCAGCAACTGGGGTCGCGGGAGCACCAGCAACAGCCTCATCGAGGGTCTTCGCGGCCTCTGGGGTAGCCTCAGAGTCCTTGGCAGGTGGGGGAGGAGCGACCAGCTCGTGCTCCTTCTTCTCCGTGGTAGGCGACTTCAGCTTCTCAACAAAGGTGCCAAAGATGGAACCCCTCTTCTTGACTGCGGGCTTCTCCTGAGGAGCATCCGCCTCAGTCGTAGCAGCAGCAGGAGTGGCCTCGTCCTTCATCTCCTGGCCAGCTTGGGGGATCTCCGAGGTGATGACGGGAGCGTTGGTGGTGACGGGGCCAGCGCTGGGGGCTGTTTTATGTAAGCAGATGCGCAAAGAGGTGCGTGAACCGGGCAACTTACTCTCACCAACCTCATTGAGGTGGGGAATGGCGGAGGACTCTTCGGTCTTGGCCTCACCGTCTGTCTTGACGGCAGCACCGTCCTCCTTGGGTGTCTTGTCCTTCTTGCCGAAGCCAAAGATAGAAGCACGCTTGCGCGATGCGCTCCTGGACTTGCTCTTGCTCTTCTTGGCCTTCTTCTGCTCATCCGAAGAGCTGCTGGACGAGGATCCGGTGCGGGCCGGAGCAGCGGCTGGAGTCTCAGACGAGGTACCAGCAGCCTCGCCTTCAGCGAGCTTGGGAGCGGCGTCCATGCTCTTCTTGGGCGCAGTGGTAGCTCCCGCTAGCGCTGTGGGCTTGCCTGCGTCATTGTCAGCGCCCTGCATCCAAAACGACATCATGCGCATTTAGCGCCCGACTACGCGACGTGACGCGCCGCAACACCAAAAAATGGTTACACAGATAATGAGTAAACTTACTGATCTTCTCCTTCTGCTCCTTGTAACCATCGCTCGACTCAATCGAGTCCTTGCAGGCTTTGGCCTCGGTGATGGCCCTCTCAATGGCGACAAACCATCCATCGCGCTCAGCAGCGTTCTGGGCCTCGAAGGTATGCTTGTGGCCAGAGATCTTGACGGAGAAGGCAATGAGGCCGTCCTTGGCCAGGTCGGTGGCATAGGCCTAGAGGTTGTCAGTACTATTACCATGGCGGACACATGTCGCATCACACAAGACGTACGAGGTTGATGACACCGGCGGGGTGCTCCTTTTGGTCGGCGTGCTTGACGAAGAAAAGCAGGCCCTTGCCGGTTTGGCTGGCCCAAGCGACAACAGGGTGCGCGACCTCTGGCTTCTCACCACGGAGGTACTCCCTCAGGTTGGCCGAGTCGACGGGGTCCTCGCCGAACCAGAAAAACTTCTTGGAGAAGCGGAAAGCGCTGTCAAAGCGGTCAGCTAATTGGGTTCTCTCTCTGTCCCTCACACTGTGTTACCTACTTCTTCAGTCCAGGTGCCTTGTATCCAAGGGAACCGCTGTAGATGGGCTCGACAACCTTCTCCTCTGCCTTCTCCTCCTTGCTCTCGGTAGGGGGAGCAACCGTGTCGTCCTCGGTCTTGGCCACCTCCTCGGTCTTGGGCTCGTCGACGGGGGCGCTGGCGTTGCCGCTCTCGACAACGGGGGCAGGCGCAGGCTCAACGTGGCCAGCCTCGGGCACGTCGACGGGCTTGGGCGCTTCGACGGCAGACATTTTTGGTTGCTTTGCTGTGTGTGGATAGGAAAAAAAGTGAAGGGGCTGTTTTGGGGTGAGAGGAGGAGAGTGGCGGGCGTGGGGGGGATAAGCGTGTGTTTGTATTACAAAGAGTAAGAAAAAGGGAAGGCTCCAACACTGACAAAAGGACAGGCAGAGGGGGAGGGGGGGGATGGGTGTGGTGAAAGCAGGCTCAACCTTGTGGAAAAGTGGGAGCAGCAGCAGAGTTGTATGGGAGGAAGAGGGCAGGAGCAGTAAAAAGCTGAGAGCAGGCTTTGTCAAGGGCCGCAAAGAGCTTTAAGGTGAGGGCGTGTGTTTGGTAGGGGTCCATGCATGACCCTGGCTTGTGAAATTGGTCTCGCGGCAGTACGTGCACTTTTGAGGCGGGTCGTTTAGGCCCAAGCCAGCCTAGCCTCTTTGACACTTCTCCCCCCCCCCCCTCTCTCTTCTCCTCTCTCTTCCGCTCCCCCCCCTTCTCAGCAGTGTGTGTTTTATGTTTTATGTGTTAGGTGTTATGCAAATGCGCATTCAAAACTAGCTTCAGCTTTGTGCACGCTTCGCCATGCTGTTGGAGTATATGTACCCTATGCTGACAATTCACCTTGCCGTCTTGTCTTGTCTTGTCTGGCTGTCTGTTCCAATAGCTGCCAACCTTCTGTGACAAGCAGCCTTCATGTGCTCTGATAAGGAGATCTCTGCGGCTACTTGGATCGGTCTCATGATCACACAGGCCCTCTTCGTCCCTCCCATGCCAAACAACGACAGACAGTGCAGCCCTCTTCGTCCCTCCCATGCCAAACAACGACAGACAGTGCAGCCGGCAAACTCAATCGGCCTCACTCCTCATTTCCAGATGGCAGGCAGCCTCGATCCAGTCCCTCCCCAAACAGCCCGTGACGTCCTACCGTACCGTACAAATACATTGTCATTGTCCTCGGACCGTTGCTGTGCAATGTGTGTGTGCAACACCGATCCCGTCTTGTGGTTCCCCACCCAAACGATGATCCAGTCTTGCACAACTCCAGCCTCTCCCGCCTCGCAGACTGCCAGAGTGCCATGGTGTCAGTGCCAGTGCCAGTGCCAGTGCCAGTGTCAGTGCCAGTGTGCCTGTGCCTGTGCCTGTGCCAGTGCCTGTGCCTGTGCCGGTGCCAGAGTGCCACCCAAGTCTGTCCTGTCCGAGCACGCCCAAGGCCCAACCGGCTAGTTGGCTAGTTGGCTGGTTGACTGGAGTGGGCGAATCAGCGGTCGTATTCCGTCGCAAGCGCCGATCGCCGTTTAAGGTGGAAGAAAAGTCAGCACCCTTGCACCCGAATTTCCTGTCTCGAGTTGGCCATGGCAGGCGAGCGAGAGGCGAGGGGCACTTGTCGCCCAATCCAATACACTTCTCACGCTCACTCTCACTTGACACTCACCACTCCAGTCACCACTCAAACATGCAAACACACACGCTCTCTCCCTCTCTCCCTCATCAGTCTTGTGCTCGACTACTACAAGTACCATAGCACCCAAGCATACTCATCATTAGATACAAAACTCTCAATCCAGGGTAGAACCCTCTCGCAATAACCTGGTGCCTGGTCTGCACTCTGGCATCTTCTCGACAAGCCATGAGCCCACTTTGCCAGAGGCAGATGCCTACCGTAGCTAAAGTAAAGTACCGCCACTCCACCACTCCACTGAACGTGGTCATTTGCCCTCTCGACAACAAACCTTGCGCGTGTCCCCCATGTCCTCCTCCATCTGCCATCGTATTTCTACTTGTGCTTGTACAATACAGCACTCTAGCAAGCCGGATACAATAATCCGGCCCCACGCCACAATCTCACCAATGGCAATCAATAAGTAGTAGTAGCCAGAGCCAGACTCTAGCACGGTTGGCTTTGGCTTTGGCTCCACGCACACTAGAGTACTCTTACTCTACTCCCTTCCCTCTCATCTCAGATCAGCCGAGAGCGAGTTGACCCAGGGGTTCGCCGGCTCAATTGCCGGTCACGTGAAAGGGGTACCCTCGCCTTGTATCCTCGTCGAATCTCCGAACAGGCAGAACGGAGGCCATGTGCTGGTGTCCTGGTACTGTGTTTGTGTGTACTGTACTACAATCTGCCCTCCATCACCACATGGATTGACTTCCTTCAAACCCACCAACCCTCCGCACCCCTCCCCCCTCTCTGCTCCTCTCCCCTTTTCCCACACACATGACAAGCTGCCGCCCGCACTCTCCCACTTGGACGCACACCGTTTCTTTCCCTTCTTCGATGCGGCTCCCACTAGAGTCCGTACATCGCGGCACGCACAGATCATTCGATAAAGGTCCGCCCATGATCTCCATTGCAATCAAAAGAAAAATCTGGCCGTCACCGTCCCCACCCATCCACTTTCTCACACACCGCCACCGCCGAACAGGTTACCTACCAACAAACTCCACCCTCCTTTTCCCCCTCCCCTCTTGCCCATTTCTCCCCTGCCCAATCCAATCTCTCTGCCCTCCCACCTCCATCTCCCACCCCCGTACAACAGGCCCGCGTCTCACAACCCCCAACGCCCTGAAACAAAAACTCCTGTACTATACCTAGGCCCCACCCACTCATCAACTTGCTACAAGCCACCCGATTTCTTCTTCTTCTTCTTCTTCTTCTTCTTCTTCTTCTTCTTCTTCTTCTTCTTCTTCTTCTCGCAATACTAGGACCCCCCGGCGCCTGCACTTTGGTCGTCTTGATGCCATGCCTGCCCCTCTCCCCCCTCCAACATGGCATTTTTCCAGCTCTCATGGGCTTCTGCATCTCCCCCCTACACGCAACTTCCCACCCCTTGGGCGTTGCCAAGATATTTGGTGAGGGGGAGTGGAGTATTGAAGCGAGGGCGCGAAGTTGCACGTGCACGCTTCACGAGTCCATTGGAAGCATTTGGTCGGCGATCATCTGGCTTTCTTCTCTTCTTTCTTTTCTTCCTTTTTCGGGCCTGGCTGGGCTTTTGGCTTTGGGAAAAAAGAAAGAGTGGGTACTCATTCAGCGTTTTGCAAAGTTTTTTTTTACTACTAGGATCACGCACCTTTCGTTTGTTGGCTGGTTATCTAGGTATCCAACCGCCACCGTTCACCGTCGGGGAGTTGGGAGTTGGACTGCTGTGGAGAGGGCGAACATGTGTGCGTGCATGTACGCTATCAACCAAAGCACAGTCATCCATTCGATAGACGAGCACAAAGGAGTATGGCTATATTTTCATCATCATCATCATGAGAGAAGAACGAATGATCAACGTAATCGTTTACATATGCAATACTGTTAATACAATAGCCTTGATATCTACACAGCCTGAACGGATTATCATATCCCCCTTGTCCCTGTTTTGAACACAACAGTGACGTACACACAGCTACAAAATCATCCATACACCTCCCCTCATCACACCCTATCCACTCACCCCTTCCCCGTACTAATCCTCTGCTCACCCCCTCCCACGCCTAATACTCCCCTCCCGATCCTCCAACAAACTCTCCCGAAGCGCCTTCACCACCGTCAGCGGCACATCGCGCTTGCCGAACGGAATGCACTTGTAATGCATCTGCCATTCACACACGGCAGCAGGGGCGCCACGGCCGCGCGCCGAGACGTTGAGGGAGGGGAAGCCGACGAGGATTTGGGCGCCGGTGGCGGAATCGGTGCGGAAGAGGGCGGGGAGGGTTTCGTGTACGTCTACGGGTTTGGTGAGGCCGAGGGCGGCGGAGAGGAAGCGGCGGGCTTTGTGGCGAACTCGGTGGGATTTTGTGATTGTGAAGCTGGGGGTGGGCGGTGTTTCAGTGGGTTGGGTCTCAGCAGTCTGTTCCCCAGCGTCTTGCTCCCCAGCGTCTTGCTCCCCAGCGTCTTGCTCCCCAGCGTCTTGCTCCCCAGCGTCTTGCTCCTCAGCGTCTTGCTCTCCAGTGTCTTGCTCCTCAGCTTCTAGCTCCTTAGTGGTCCGCATTATAGCGGCCTGAACGCTAGCGACCTTCGCCTCAGTGGCCTGAATTAGAACGGCCTTCGCCTCAGCGTCTTGCTCCTTCATGGTCGCGTTCTCGGCAGCTTCGAGTATAGGCCGATCAAACGTGGTATAAAGGCGGAGGGTAAGCGTGTCATTTGTATGGTTCTTGATGCGGACCCAAAAGCGGCCGTCGAAGAGCTTCCATTCTCCCTCATCCGGCTCAGATTCGTTCCCGGACGAGGGCGGGAACACAATCGCTTCGCTGCCGCGCTGGAAGCCCTGGGGCTTTTGGCGCAGGAGGTAATATTCCTTGGGATGTGGACGACCTGGGGCAAGATTCACATCTGGATCCCCAAGAAAGGGGGACGCACGGTCTGGGACTCGCCACCAGACGCCGGAGGCGCAGAAGCTTGTGCGAGGTTTCTTCTTGCGGGGCTTCACCACGCTCTTCGTCTCTGTGAATTCGGGATAGACAAGTTTGATGGTTCCAGCAAGTGTATCGAGCGAAGCGGTGAGGCGTGGGCTGGTTATTTCGGCAATCCGTCTGATCAAGTAGTATGCGTTGTTGCTCGCTTCGTTCTTATCAGAGTCTGTCTCGATCGGGCGGTCCAGAAGTGCGGAGTAGGCCGGGAAACGGACGACAACGAAGCCAGTCTGGATATTTATCAGTAAATTGCACTTTTTGAACAGCTGTTCAGCATGGGCCTTGTGCGCCTCGACACGCTTCTGCATATGCAACGAGACCTTCACAAGATTCTTCGGACTCAAAGCCTTGGGAAGTCTGTGCTTTTGGAAGATGTGCCGTATAGCATTCCGCGCGGTAAGAGTCCGGATCTGGTTCGTCTTATCCTCAACCCAGGGCATGCATGCTTTCTTGCAGGTGGCAACGAGCCGCGCTTTCTCAAAGCCCAACAAAGGTCGGAGAATCTGGATGCCACCTTGCTCCACCACCAAGGAGGATGGATTGTCGGGACGAATTTTGGTGTAAGGACTGCCGCTATGATATAAGCCGTAGATACCTTCGCATTCCGGGATCCATTCACTGCCTTGTATGCCTTGTAGGCCTGACCGCAACCGGTTGTTCGCCAACCTCATGAGTACCGTCTCAGCCTGGTCGTCGGCGTGGTGCGCCACCAGTAACGCTGAGATGTTGTGGCTTCTGCAACTTTCACCCAACGCTTGATATCGAAGTCTGCGGGCTTCGGTTTCGAATCGTCGGTGATCGGAGGGATCGAGGTCGCTGGGCCATTCCAGTCGTAGTACGGTCGATGGCACGTCAACTGCACGTCGTCAGTGATGTGTGTGACCGACCAGCTCACAGTTAACCAGCATACGTTTCTGACGTAACTGCTCCGCGACCCATTCGGCTTCCTCTGCGCTGCCTGGCCGTGCGTTGTGGTCCACAATGAAAGCATGTGCAGGCGGTAGACCCGTCCTTCTTTTTCGTGCTCGGTAATAAAGAGTCATGAGGGCCATGGAATCAACGCCACCGCTGATAGCGAAACCTGGCATCCCCATTTAGCAACCCCCAACCCCCCCAATCTTGGCCACACAGGTCGACCTACCCAGCGGCGTTTGTTCCTTCGTAAGATTCCATCTTGTGAGGAGCACCTTTTTCAGTGCATCCCAAAATTCTTTATCCGTTATTCGCTGGCTCTCCAAAAAGCTGGACTTCTCCAAAGAGCTGGGCTTCTTGACAAAGCTAGGCTTCTTGAGAGAGCTGGGATTCTTGAGAGAGCTGGGCTTCTTGAAAGAGCTGGGCTTCTTGAAAGAGCCCGCCTTGTTCGAAGAATCATACCATCGTCTGTGGTTCAAGCCAGGACTGCGGATTGTCGCAAGCAAGGAGGTCTCCCTCAGCCTAGAGGCATTGCTTCTCAACATGTAAGCATTGGAACGTATTAATTGTTCCCCGACGAGAAGGTGAGAGGGCGAGAAGGCGAGAAACAGTTAAGTGTTACAATCAATTGTTGTTGCGTCGATTCTTTTCGGCGCTACAGGATCAGTTCCGAGGTATTCTCGCACGGACCAATTAACTTCTGGAAATTTCTAGGGTCTCACAACTTCTACTTGACCGTTGCGACCATAACTTCCCATTCCCACCTTTCGAAACCGCGCGCAGGCCCAAGATTCTTTCGTGATAAATTAATTCAAGTTCCCAATCGCCGTCCTTCAAAACCCTGCCCTTCACAATGGTAAGCTTCACAATTCCAATTCACAACAATTGACACACCTCTGCATGCATCCCGCAATATTCCACACCTCAAGGCTGAGCTTCCCTACATGCCACTACTGTTCCAACTGACATTTTCTCCCCCCACCTACTAGTCTACCATCAGATCCATCCGCTCCATTGCTCCCCTCCTCGACCGCATCCTCGTCCAACGCATCAAGCCCGAAGCCAAAACCGCAACCGGCATCTTCCTCCCCGAAACCGCAGTCAAAGAGCTCAACGAAGCCAAAGTCGTTGCCGTGGGTCCCGGCGCCCTCGACCGCGATGGAAAGAGAATCACACCTAGCGTGGCTGTGGGCGACAAGGTCTTGATCCCGCAGTTTGGAGGCAATCCGATCAAAGTGGGCGAGGAGGAATTGAGCTTGTTCAGAGATCATGAGTAAGTTCCTTTTTCTCTTGGACTGGATTTTGCTTGCATGGTGTTGTGAATTGTGTGTGGTTGGGATCTGGGTTGCTAATCCCTACATTTCAGGCTCCTTGCAAAGATCAACGAGTAAACACTTTGTCTCATCACTGCGTGGATGAATTGAAGCGATGTAATCGATAAACCTGTACCAATACCACCCTGCCACATTACAACTCCAACTCGCTGCTACCGTTTGACATGAGAAACAAAACGCTAGCATGCACCTTTGGGGTTGGTTGGCATATACAAAAATCTGTTTCTTCTATGTGGAAAACTAGCGGCTTATGAAGCTTTGTGTTACTGTGTAGTTATACCAAAAGGAGGTGGCAGTGGTGGTGGAAGAGGAGACAACGAGGATGAAGACATGAAAAATGAATCTCTGCTCTATTTTATCGTGCATACAAGACCAAATATGGGAAAGCTTGTGCTTATTATTACTCGGAAAAACATTACACGCTGTTACGAACCAGTCGCTCTAGCAGGACTTTCCCATTCAGAAGAGCTGTTCATGACTTCAACCACTTCCAACAAGCCATCTGGTGATAGGCGGTGCATTGACCGCTCACCATGCCGAATTACCTCCACCACTACCCCACGGCCTCCCACTACCCTGCGTCTGAAGTTGGTCATACGCACCATGTGCTCCACCCTGCGCACCCTGATCATACCCGCCATACCCACCCTGTGGCTGCTGTGGTTGCGGATGCCCATAATTCTCATACCCCTGCTGATACTGCGTTGACATCGTATAGCTAGGCTCCACACCCTGTCCTCCCGAGTAGTATCCTTGCTGTCCATAGCCTCCCGAAGGAGCAACATTGCTGTACTCGGCTGGTGGTTGGTAGCCTTCGCCTTGATAACTGGACGGGTAGGGTTGGAAGGTGCCCCATTGTGATGGCTGAGGGGAGGGCGGAGGTTGATAGCCGCTTGCGGGACCGCCAAAAGTCGT